GGGTGTTCACCGTAGGAAGTCGCCCTCAGCCCCCCCGGGACTGTAACTCAGGACGGTGCTGAGGGGCCACGGTCTGAGTCACCACACTGCGCAGAGAGCCGCACTGACCCCGGGACCAGCTTCTTCTGGCTCCCTGCTGTGGGCCCACAAGCAGCTGCAGGACCTGCCGAGAGCCTGTGTGCAGGACCCGGGGCGTGTCAGGGCAGGGGTGGGATGCAGCCATCCCTCGGGGCTCACGCCGTCCCCCACGGGGAAACCACGCAGTGTCCCGAGCAGCAGGCCCCCCGCCCAGGAGGCACGGGCCCGGCGCCTCGCCCTCCTTGGCAGAGAAGGAGCCCCCGGCGGTCCCAGTGCAGTGCCCTGGTCCCCTTCGCCCTCTCCCTGTGCCCCCGGGCGTATGTGGCTATTCTTGGCCAGCTCAGGTCACGCTCACTCCAGGCAGTGGGACACAGATGGCTCGGGACACGGTGGCGGTGTCCGCGTCCAGGTGGAGCTGACGTCCGCGACAGGCAGCCCCCCCACTTGGCACGACACAGCACGGGCGGGGGGGGGGGCGGGGCGAGAGGGTATCCTGCGCTTTGAAAGGCAGGAGGCCCATCCTCAGCTCTGCCGGGAGCCAGGGCCCTGGGGGCAGGGGGCTGCCTTCCGGGAGGGCTGCGGAAGGGCAGGCCCCACACCATGCTGGTGGCTGCCCAGGGCCTTCCCAGTGCTGGGAAGGCGGCTGCCAGGCCTGGTCACGGGCCTCGCCTCCCGCCTTTGCAGACCTCCTCCCGGGAAGCCGGGAAGGCACTGAGGCCAGCACTCGAGGCGCCCGTAGTTGGTGGCTCAGGTCACAGGAGACCGGAGAGGTGTGGTTTCGAGACCCACGCCAGGGAGCCAGGCGATGCGGCAGCTCTGGGCTCCAGCTGGCAGCTCGGAGCGTCCTTGTCGGCCTCCGACCCCCTGCGCAGGGCTGGGGCACAAGACCCGCCGTCCGGGGCGTCAGTCCACCCGCCCCGGGGCAGCCGTCTGGGCCGGGAAGCAGAGCCTCCCCCGAGACAGTTCGGATGAGGAGAGGTCTGCAGAGGGTCAGCAGGGCTTGGACTCCCCGGGGACCGGTGACATGGGGAGCTGTCACCACCTACCAAAGGGGGACTTGGAGGGAGAGGAGGGGCCGAGGGTCGGAGCCACAGTCCTGGAGGAAGGGAGCAGGGGAAGAGTGCCCCGCCCCCTGCTCTTCGGCCCCCAGTGCCTCCCTTTGCCAGCTCTAAATAGAAACCAGGGGCCGGGGCGCCCTGGACTGACGGACGGTCCATGGGGTCGGGGAACGGGGGGGGGGGGGGCGGGAAAACCAGCCCCGGGTCATCAGGTGGTGACAGGAAGTGGCCCCAGAGGTCAGGGCGGCATGTGGCACCCCCTTAGAGCGCCATTCTGGGCCTCAGGCTTCTGCCATGACCTGGCCGAGGGTTTGGCCCATCCTGGGTGCCCATTTCCATCCTGCGAGGCTCCAAGGTCATGGGCGTTGGCCTTCTGTCCTTCTCTCCGTACATCGGACCCAGGACTGCGTGTGTCGGGTCTCGTCTCGAGCAAAGGGCAGCGTCACACTCGTGTGCCCCGTCGGGGTGAGACGTGCTCCCCTCCCTGTCCTCTTCTGGTCTGAAGCGAGGCTGCGACGGAAGCTCAGCCCCCAGCTGCAGCCCAGCGGTCCCTCCCCGCCAGGAGCCCTGCGGTGGAGGGGACTCCGGCTTGCTCTGTAAATGTTGACTGAGCACGCTCTGGTAGCAAGGGTAGATGCCTTCCTTCCAGGTTCCTGGCTGAGCCGGGGGGGCCGGCATGTAAGCAGGTGTGACAGGCAGGTGTGCAGGGCGCAGGGAGGATGCCTGGCCAGCCCCAACCGCCAGCGAGCTGGCGAGGCAGGCTGTCCCTCTGCGGCCCCACACCTGCCCAAAGTCCCGTCTGCTGGCTCCTCCCCTCCTGAGGTCCAGCGGACTCCCGTTAGGCTCTCGTCATGAAGCGCAGGCACTGGGACCACCCAGGGCCCCTTTTAGCCCTGAGTCGCTGCGCTCGGTGCCATGACAATTGGGAGCCACCACCTCCCCCTGCCGAGTCAGGGGTTGCTCAGGGCTGCCGCCCGGTTTCCCGTGAACCCAGGGGCACCACACCTGAGACCAGTCGCCCTGCTTCTCTGGGGAGTCACACGCTGTGCTGAAACTTCAGGTACAAAAGGGCGTTGGTGTTCTGCCTCCCACTGTCCCTGCTCTGCAGGGGGACAGTGAGGGGGACAGTGAGGGAGAGGGCAGACGTCCTAGCAGTAACTGCTCGCGTCAGTGAGACTCGGGGGTGCCGGCGGCAGGGGTGTTGTTGGCTCACTGCCGCCTCTGTCGCATACGAGGGAACCGAGGCTCCACGAGGCCTGGCCGCTTGCCCAGGATCGCAGGGCAGGGATTTGAACCAGTGGCTCAGGTGCGCAGCCCCCGGTCTTACCAGCACTGCCTCCTTGCCGCTTCGAGTAAAAAGCCGTGACCAAGAGGGACGTGAGGATTCACAGGGGTTTTGGGTCAGGGAGGCCGAGGGGGTCTCCAGCCGGCCCTCCTGCAGGGAGTGAGGCCCCCGCCAGGGTTTGCGGGGCGCAGGAAGGGAGCTCGCGTCCCCAAGAGGAGGGAGAGTCAGCGACGTGACGGCCACCGTCAGAGGGGCCGCTCTCGGGGGGGGGGGGGGGCCCAGGCTCCGCGGTTTCATTCGTCCGAGTTCAGGCTTCATGCCCCCCAGACGCAGCCCCTTGGCCGACCCGACGTGCCCCCAGGACTGTGGCTCCTCGGGGACCCTGGCCCCAGGGGGGAGGGCCCCCCGTGCCAGGCTCCTGGTCGGCCTCTCCCCCGGCCCCGAGCCCCGGCCCCCCCATCCGGCTGCTCTCCCGCCCCACCAGCTGAGAACGTGCGTCGTAAAGCTCCGAATGGGCCATTTCGGCGCGGAGTCCAGATGCATTTTTATATCCGTGCGGGAAAAGCCGCAGAGGCTCTGCTGGCAGTCAGGAAGGGTTTTTTTAAATTAAAGTTAGGGGGGAAAAAAAAGGAGAGGAAAACTGCCCTGCACCTGGCCCTCTCCGGAAAGCGCAGGGGAGAACAAAGCCTTTCTGCAGTGTGGCCACATGGCTGGTGTAAGAGGGTGCGTGTGCCACCCGCCTCCCACAGGTGCTCCGCTCACTCACTCAGCTGTCACCGCACAGCTACCGTGCGCCACCGCCGGGGCCGGCGTGTCGGCCCCGCCGTCCAGGCAAGGACACCGGGGCTCGGAGCGGGGCGGGTGGCCAGCCCCCGGTGACTGTGTTATTCTCCGTCACCGAGCACCGCAGGCCGGGGGGGGCGGGTTCGCCCGGCAGCTGCTCGGCCTGCAGTTCCAGCGGCCGGAAGTTCACAGCCGAGGTGTCGACAAGGGCCACTCCTTCTGAGGGAGAATCTGTTCCATGCTTCCCCCCCAGCTTCTGGCGACGGCTGGCGTTCCTCAGCCTGTCCAGGTGGCACTCCGGTCTCTGTGTCTCTCGTGAGGACACCCGTCATTGGGTCAGAGGCCCACCCTGGTCCCGTGTGTCCCCACTTTAACGCAACTAACTTACGTCTGCAAAGACCGTTTCCCAGCAAGCTCGCGTCCTGAGGTCCCAGGGGTGCGGGTTTCCACCTGTCTCCTTCTGGGGGACACAGTGCGACCACTGACAGGCGCACCGCGGTTGAGGGCCAGCGTTGGGTGGGTTCCAGTGCAGAGCCCTCCTGCCCACGGCGTGCCAGGAGCAAGAGGGACTCACCCCGAAGCCCCTGCCGGTCCCCAGTGCGGAGGGCCGTCGGACACAGGCCCCCCCCCCCCAAACCCAGCACCTCCCGGCCTCTCTGCAGAGAGAGTCACTGCACATGTCCCAAGTCTATGCCAGCAACACCGTGACAACGAGAAGTAGCATCTCCTGAGCGCTGACTGTGCCCACGCTCCTCTGGGCCCTGTCCACGCTGACTCTCATTTTCTGTAGAACCCTCGGAGGGAAGTACCATTGACGTTCCCATTTTACAGATGAGGAGACTGAGGCCCAGGAGAGTCATTCACCCTCCCAGGCCTTGAAGCTAGGACGTGCAGGGCCCAGGCAGGCGGCTCCAGAGCCCAGGCCCCTGACCACACAGCGTGGCGGCCTCTGTCCCAGGGGAGTGTCTCAGGAAGGGCCCCGCCCGCTGCCCTGTAGCTGAAGACAGGGCGATGTCCAGCAGGGAGCTCGCCGGTTCCCTGCGACTCCATTCGTATGCCCTGTCCAGAGGGGCCAGACCATGGGGCCAGGCAGCAGATCAGTGCCCGCTGGGGCCGGGAGGTGCAGAGTGACCACTGGCGAGTGTGGCGTTTCTGTGTGTGGGGCCGGGGGGGGGGGGGGCGGTTGATGCTGAAGTTCTAAGATGGACCGGTAGTTGGCGGCTGTGGGCATGCTCATGGCCACTGGGTGGCGCCCTTCAGATGGCACCTTGAGCGGTGGTGTGGGAGCTACGCCTCTGTAAGGCTGGCAGGAAACAAACACCAGAAGGAGGGAGGTGGGCGCAGGGGGCAGAGCCTGCGGCAGGATTCGGGTCTCTGGAGCAGAGGCTGGCGGCCCCAGGGCCAGTGGGAGGCCAAGGGCAGCCGGGCCGGAGGCCACAGGGAGACTCGGGGTGGGACGTCAGGGGCCTGCATGGTTGTCATCAGGCAGCCAGATGGGGCTCGGCTTTCCCGGGGGGTGCCGCCCCGACAGACAGCGGGGTGGAAGGGCCTGGTGGTAGGGTCACCCTCCCGGGAGGCTGTGCTGTGGAGAAGAAGCTGCCACCCCCCATGTCTCCCTCCCTGGGGGCAGAGCCCACGAACTAAGATGTGCCCCGGGGGGGTGTCGCTCCGGCCTGAAGCCGGCCTCAGAGCCTGGGGCGCCGGTGCGGGCGGATTGGGGGCGGGGGGCACAGTGGGGCGGCCGGGCCAAGGTCTCAGCTGATGCGCTATGTCGTCTCTCGCCCCTGCCCCTCCAGAGAGCCTTCAGCGCCCTGTGCCACAGCACCCACTTGTACGGCCGGAGGCTGGTCCTGGAGTGGGCCGACTCCGAGGTGACCTTGCAGGCCCTGCGGCGGAAGACGGCCGAGCGCTTCCATGGTAAGAGCGGCGGGGCTGCTGGGGTGGCTCCCGCGGGCCTGGGGGCCAGGGTACTGGGCGGCCACCGGGGACCGGGGGGGTGGGTGTATCGGGAGCCTCCCGCCCTTTGGGCCTCCCGTCAGGTCACTGGGAGGCCTGGCAGGAAGGAGGGGAGAGAAGGAGAGTGGGCCAGGGGGTTCACCGCCCCGCCTCCCTTCCCCCCGGGCTGCCACGGCCAGCTGGCACTCCCACCAGGGGCTCACGTCCCGTGGCCTCTCCACCGAGTGCTGTCTGCCCAGGTTCTGCCAGCTGGCCCAGGGGGCCACTCGAGCCAATTGCCCTGCCCCCTCCCCCCTTTACTGGACCCTCCCCAGCTACCCGGCTTGAGGACCGCCCACTGCCCGCCGGGGCCCCGCTGGTGCCAGCATTCACTCCCCTCACACACCTTTGCGGCGTCACGTGGCCTGGCCGACTGTCCGGTCCCTCCCCGGAGAGTGGCAGGGAGCACCTGCTCTGCCCGGGGGCTGGGGACGCGGCCGTGACCTAGTGGGGCTGTGGGTCCAGGTGGGGAAGGCTGGGCACGCGGTTTGAGCAGGTGGTGCAGGAAGGCCTCCCCACAGAGGTGACATTTGTGCCCAGGAAAGGGCTGCCTGGGCACAGGGAGCCCAGGGTTGGCGTGAGCGTGGCACACGGCGGAGGGGCAGGTGGCGAAGGCGGGAGAGCCTGGCTTCTCGGAGGGCTCGGTGGCCCCTCTGTGGCGTCCCCCACGGTGCTCTGATGTCTCGGGCGGCACGTTGCCACTGTGCCCCAGGGAGTCCCCGCACGACCCGCAGTTGCCCCGCTCTCGGTGCTTTCCTGGACGAGCCGCGTTACTCCAGCACCTATCTGCTCCCCTCGTTGTCCCTGTCCCCACCGACAGCTGGGGGCTGTCCCCTGGGGACAGTCGGGGGGTGTTGGTGGCGAGGCCCACCTTTGCCCCTCTTGTCTGCAGAGGGGGAGCCCGGACCCAGGACTGGGTCGTTCGCTGTCCCAGCCGGTCACACTCGGCTTCCCAGACCAGGCAACAGTGTAGCGGCCAGTGCCGGGGGGCTGCTCTCGGGGGGCTGCAAGTGTCCCTGCAGGCCTCCCTGGTCTTACTGGGGCTGCACACACGCCGTCTGAGCAGTGTCTCAGTGACGCAAGGCTGCGTCCTCCACAGACGTGCCTAGAGCCCCAGACAGAGGGGAAGCCCTTCCACTGGGGCTCAGCCTGCCACGCCCTTCAGTGACCCCTCCTGCTCCCCGGTGCCCTCCCAGCCCGGGCCCTCCCTCTGCACCTCCCAGAATGCACTGTTCCCCGGCAGCCCACAGGCCTCTGTGTATCCTCTTCCCTCTATTGAGAACGCCTGGCTCCTCAATTTTATGTTTTATAACCTGGCAAGCGCCTACCCAGTCTTCAAGGCTCGGCTCAGATGACACTTCCTCCAGAAGCCTTCCCTTCCCCCGCCACTTCCCAGGGATCAGTGGTTGCTGCGTCCTCTGCTTCCCTGTACGTCTCTGCTGTGCCGTCATCCACCCTCCCACGACTCTGCTCTGACTCTCACGGGCCGAGCCACCCCGAGGGGGCGGTGCTGCGCGCTCCTCTCTCACTGCTCAGGGCCTCTCCGGGCCCCTGGCCGCCGGTCCGAAGTGCAGGGACCAGAATCCGGAGGCATCAGGGCTAAGCACGTAGTCGCCGGCTCACAACTCAGTAAGCCCCCAAATCCCGCCGTGCAGAGAGAGAGCCTGTCCGTATCGACAGCCATCGACAGGCCCACATGCACCGTCGGCAAATGTTTGTGTAAGGGGCTCTCCCGGGCCCCCCCCCGCGCCCACCCCCAGGGCCGGCGAGGAGTGCGGGCTCAGCACTGCGGCCGGCAGCGGAGGAAGCCCCTTGGATAGCCCGCGCTCCGCAGGCAGCGTGATCGCCGCACCCCGCCCGGAAGCGGTTCTGTGATTGACGCTCCCCGACGGGGCAGACGCAGTGACGGCGTGACGCAGGCGGCGTTTGTTTAGACGCAGTGACGGCGTGACGCAGACGGCGTTTGTTTGCGTGCGTCTCCCCGTCAGTCCCGCACCCGCCCTGTGAGGTGAGAGAGCTGGGACCCATCAAGCATTGACGTGACCCGGGACGGCTGTCATTCGCGAGGGACGTGCTCTGTGCCGGGGGCCACCTTCGGGGGGTGGTGCGCGCTGTCTCGTTTTATAGACGGGGACACTGAGGCCCAGCGTTGTGCCCAAGGTCACTCGGGTGCAAAGGGGCAGAGCCGCGCCCTCCTGCCCTGCGCACCCTGCGCTGCTCCGGCCGGCGCGGTCGTCAGAGCCCGGGGCCGCATCAGGCCCGGGCTGCCCGAGTGTCCGCCCTGCGGCCTCCTTCACCCTGGCCCATCCAGACCCTGCGCCCTGAGTGCTACGGGGCTCCTTCCGGAGCTGGAGGGGATGAGGAATGAATCGTGGTGGGAAACATCACGTTTCTCAGGCAGGGCCTCGTAGGAGCCCCGTGGTGTGCATGTTCCGTTGTCCGGTGTCCAGATGGGGAAGCCCCTGCGGCCAGCCAGGGTGTCAGAGCCACGCCGGGAGCCAGGGGTCCTTCCGAGACCCCTTGGAGGAGCACCGCCCTCCCAGGTTTTGGAAGGGGCCAGCCCTGAGTCAAAGGCGACCCTCCAACCCACCGGTCCCGGCTGGGATTCGCCCCGGGGGCTGGCAGAAAGCGCCCCTGCTGCGGGGGCTGCTTGCAGAGACATGGGGGCGGGGCCAGAGGTGAGCTGCGGTGAGGAGCTGTCACCCTCCCCCTGGGGCTGTCCCCCCAGGCCGCCCCCTCCGGGGAGGGAGCTCTTGGTGCTTCTGCTCTCTGCTCCGTCTCCTGCTGGCCTGTCCTGCTCCCAAGCCAAAGGACCAGGACGCTAGTGACACCTTCTGGGGACACAGCAGGACAGGGGATGGATCTGGTGGCGGCTATCAGGGCAGGTGGCTGGGGTGGGGGCCAGGTTTCCCGGGGGCGTGCTGGGACAGGAAGCAGCATGCCCTCCTGACGCCACCTGCCTGGAGGGGTCGCCAGCAAGCACGGCTGAGCATCAGGCTCCAGGCCGACCTCACCTGTTTGGGACTTGAAGAGGTGGCGAAGGGTGGTCTGCGAGTGTTGTGGGGGCTGAAGAGCCTGGAAGGAAGCACCTGTTTCCGCGGCACTCTCTTCCAGAGCTGTGCACAGCGACCCTCTGAAAACGGAAGGACGTTCCGTCCAGAACACAGCAAACCAGGAGGCAAGGGTGTTCAAGCCAAGTCCTTGGAACCTCGTCTCCCTGGTCCTAGAGCCCTCGCGTGGGCTGGCGTCCGAGCGGCTGTGAGCCCCGGAAATGCCGTGTGCGTGTGCACACACATGCGTGACTAACTGTCCGACAAGAGGATCTCTTGTTTTCACCACATTCTATGGGAGCTCCCGGTCCCCAAACGCTTCGCTTTGGGAGAAGGGGCGTTGACGCCGACACCACCGAGACCTGGCCCCGGCGGCTCCCCGGCTGAGTGTCCCGGGACGGGGCCTCGTGCCGTCGGGGCTCCCGTGTCCCCTGCACAAGCGAGGGTGACGGCGGTGCCAGTTTATGGAGTCCTCGAGAAGCTGATCGGGGGACAGAAGGGCACGAGCTGCCTTTTTTTTTTAACCCACACGACACGGGCAGGAGGTGCCCGCCCTCGCTCTCCCCGTTTGCCAGGTGAGAGGACCGAGGCGCGCGGAGATGCCATGACCTGCCCGGTGCACACGGGTAGTTGGAGCTGGAAGCAGTCTGGCCCCTGGCCTGGACTCCTTGACTTCTCCGTCCGGCCTGCCCACGTAATCAGGACACGGGGGAGTGGAGGGGGGCAGGCGCCCTGGAAACGTCAGCCCCTCTCGCCTACCCACCCCATTGGCTGACCTCTTCAGGCAACAGGAGGTGCCCACGGCAGCCCTGAGTGTCCCAAGTAGGGCTGCTGGCCCCTGGCAGACGCAGGCCCGGGGCCCCGTTGCCGCCCTGGCCCTGAGCTCTGCTGGCCCTGAGCTCTGCCAGGAAGGTGCTCAGCTCTCAGGGGTAGCTGGGAGCCCCGTCTGCCCAGCCTGAGCGCCAGGGCAGTGACAGAGGGCTGCCGGGGCAATGAGGGCTGTGGGATGACTGGCAGGCAGCTCCGGGACAGTGGGAGGTGGCTAGGGTGGATAGAGGGGTGTTAGCGCGGTTACCCCCATTTCATCCCTGTGCCTGGGCTCAGCGTCTCCAGCAGACCAACCACACTCCCTGGTGGCTGCCCAGCCCTGGGACCAGCCTCCCGCCCCCCCATCAGGTCCCTGATGAGCTCTGGTCAGGAGGGACGGACAGCTCACCCGAGGGCACCCAGCTACGAGCGGCTGAGTCGGGAGTCAGACCCAGGTTGTCAGCCATCCTGCCAGACAAGTAGTCCTGTCAGTGGGTGCGTGTCACTGGCTCTTACGTCTCACCCCAGCATGTGTCCCCTTACCTGCTCTGTGGCTGGGACACGGTACTGGGCCTCAGCTTTGTCATCTGTAAAATGGGACCAGGGTACTTGCCTCATTAGGGGAATTGCAGACCTCAAAGGAGATGAGGCCTTGGAGCCCGGCCACACCGTGAGCATGTCACCGATGCCATCCGCCCTGCCCTCCCCGTTGGGGACTAGTTCTGCTCCCTTGTCCGGGCCAGCGGGGACAGTCCCTGTCTCTCTTGTGTTCTGGTCGGTCCAGGCTGAGGAAGGGCGCTGTGCAGGGGGAGCCGTGGTGGTTGTGAGCTTGGACACTGGCTAGCCTGGCCCAGTGTGAGCGTGAGACAGAGACTACAGATACGCCTAACACTCGGGCTCAGGTGTGTGTGTGCATCCGATTCTGGACGTCTCCCGGCCCCCCGGGGCTCCCGTGCCCGGCCCTGGGTGTGGCCCGTAGCAGGCGCCCTCCAGACGTGGTGACGGAGCTATCCTGAAGTCCTGCCATTCAACGCCATTTGGCAAATAAGCGAGCGGGCGCGCAGT